CCCCCTCTGCTGGTTTGTGAATGTGGCAGAGATTACTAGTGCTTTCTAATAACTGTGTTATTCTGTCCTTCCAGCCTTCTTGTTCTGGCCAACGGACTGCCAACGGAAGTGATGTGCTCCACTTTCAGACCTAACCCATAAAACCCATTTTCTTTTACTATCCAGAAACTCAGTAGCGAGGACCTCAGAATTTAGAGGACGAAAGAGCCTCAAGATGGAAGAAGTCTGGGTTACTCAATGACTGAATGAAGAAGAGCGTCTCCACCCCCAGTGCAGGCCATACTGTACTATACTCTGATACAAGCAGGAAATAAAATTTGACTGGGTGAGGTTTTGTACTTTATCTATTAGAGAAGCTAGCATTATTTACCTTAACTATTATAGAAATTATATATTTTCCTATCTTTTTTAGTACTTACCCTTGAAATTTAAACACACATCTTATCAAAGTCTAAAGATTAACACTGTGTTTATCGTCCTGAAATGAAAACTCTATTTCAAGCTCACGTGTTATTCTTATTCCAGAATTTTAGTTCTCATTTTTTCAAGCCTACGAATTAACCATTGTAATTGTTGCTTTATAGAGTCAATGTGTGTTTACATGTATGCATATTATCAACATTTCCTTGACTCAGCATTCCTTCTGTCCCAGGTCTCAGATCCTCCTTCTGAGATCATTTTCCTTCTCTTAAAGTATTCTTTACCAAATATCTGTGGGTGGAAAGCTATTTTGTTTGTGTGAAAATACCTCTATTTTGCTTTGTTCTTGAAAAATAGTTTGGCTAGATTTATAATTCTAAGTTGACAGTCACGTTCCATCACCCCTTAGAAGATACTTTCCCACTATCTCCTGGTTTCTCTTGCTACTCATAAGAAAACAGCTGTGAGATTATTGACATTCCTTAGTAGGTAATGTCTTTTATGCCTGGTTTCTTTTTAGATCTTCTACTTTGTGTGTGCTGCGGTTTCCTTTATCTGTCACTCTTTGGATTTGTTGTGTTTCCTCAGCCCAAGGATTTGTATCTTTCCTCAATTTTGGAAAATATTCAGCTTTTTTCTCTTTGCTTATTGCCTCTCTCCTAGTCTTCCTGTTATCTCTTTCTGGAATTAAATATATGTTGGACTTTCTCCCACTGTCTTCCATGGCTCTTAGTCTTTCATATTTTTAATCCTGCAGCTTCTCTGTGCTACATTCTACAGATTTCTTCAGATTTGTCTTCCAGTTCACGAATTCTGTCTTCATAGTTTTCTAATCAGTTGTTTAATTCATTATTGAGGCCTTTAATCTTAGTGATCATAATTTTCATTTCTAAAAGTTCTTTTTGGTTTGTTTTTCAAATACCCTGGTCATTTTTGAGAATCTATTGCTCCTTAATCTTAATTTCAATTCCCTCTTTTTGTCTGAATATGTTAAGCATATTTATTTTATATTATGTACCTGATAATCTTCATATATTAGATCTTACAGGTTTGATTCTGCTACTTTTTGATTTTGCTAATTCTCCCTTATGGTGCCTTGTTTCCTTGTGGTTTTGTGATTTCTTTTTATTATCTCATGTTCATTGAGAGTTTATCTGTGGGAATTCTATGAGGCCTGATACAGATTATTTATATTTACTTATGACTGGTGCCAGAGGAAAGGTGTTATTCACCAGGGACCTTTTATATTAACCTCAAAGTGGATTTTTCAGACTATGAATATTGTGTGAATTTGAACCCAAGTCCCATATGAGACTTGGGGCTTAGGGCTATAGATTCTCAAAAGAGACAATATTTCCCGTCTCAGAAACAGGACCAAGATATATATTTATTTTCTTGTTATGTCACTCTTCCACAAAGGTTATAGCCCTGTAGATTTTTGTGATGAGGGTTTCCTTTCTTTACATGGACCCAAGGCTTTGTCTTCACCCAGCCTTTAAAACCAAAATCTCTAAGTTACAAGAGAGTGGCAATTGCCCCAAAGTGGTTACTAGCTTCAATACTTGCTTACTTATCTGAATTCAAGCTTGGGCTTAATTTTTGTCCTCCTGAGGATTTCCCTTAACTTTTTGTAACTTCATCTATGCATTTAAGAAGATTCTTGAAATATATTTCATGTTACATTTAAGTGTCTTATAATAGGAAGTGTTATGTTTACCTTATATTATTGTCATATTGAACGAAATGAAGTCCTCTTTGGATTTTATTCAATCTTTCCAGTCAGCTTCTATTTTCCCTCCCATTCCCTACCAAATACCCTTCCTCCAGGCTCTTATTAAAAAGAGTCTTAGTAAAAATATATGATGCTAAGTAAAGTTTTAAGACACTTGGTAAAGTAATCAACTACCCCAAGGATTTAAGAGCTATATGAGGAGGTCATCAATTAGCAGGTAGTTAGCCACTTTGCCATAATCAGTCAATCTGCTGTTTTCTGAGAGAGTTCCCTCCACCTGGTTCAGTTTACTTATAGGAAGCACTAGGTAGAGAGGACCTGGGATTCTAGCATTTAAATTTAACAAAGCCAGTGGAGGTATGACTGGGAGTTGTATGATTTTTAATGACAAAAGTAAGGTTCAACTGAACTGATTTATTTACCAGCACCATTTTTGCCCTAGTTTCATAGGCACCAGACATAGCACGGACCAGATGTAGCACAGACCAACTCCCAGAGGAAGGCAGCCTACAAGATGTAGTATCAGCAGTCACCATCAATCAAATGCTGAAAGTCAAAAAACACCATTAGTATGGGTCTGGTGAGAGCAAGTGTTGGCAATATTGGAAATGACTGCTGTGTTAGTCCCCATCGGGCCAGAAAAACATTCTCAATCCAGGAGAATAAAAGGTCTTTGGGTCCAGTTACATTAACAGCTGCCATGTTTCTCTCTTCTAATGTCAACTTGCCAGCCAGGGAGTCCCACTTTGAAAAAGAGGTGATGTTATGCCTAATGAACCAAGTCTTTATTTCTAAGAGGAACTACTCATATGGTAGAAAGTTTTCCCCCTGGCTATTTATCCATTTTATTCATCATTTTGGGACTCGGCCTTTCCTGAATCCATGGACGAGACTTCTGTGAGTTAATTTTATCTTCAGGTTCGAAGACAGCCGTGGCCCTACTGTGGATGCAGACTGGGAAAGTCACATTAATGAGGATGTACAAGAAGTAGGTAGGGATGGGCAAGATGGTCACGATGATGAGAACTACGAGTAAGAATTTAGCCCATGATGGATAGGTTTGGACCTCTTCATCTGACTGTGGAGAAAGAAGAAGGTTTAGAATGCCTTGGTTCTCTGAAGTGGAAGGCTTCAGAGTGTAGGGGTGGGAGATGAGCTAGGGCAAGAGACTAGATAACTGAACCCCCAGGGAATCAGGGAATATTATGAGTGAGTCCTAGAGGCAAGAGTGGATTGATAGGTGTGGTACCCACTCCTTAGGGGATTCTATTGGGGAGGGAGGCTCACTGCGGTTGAGTTCCAGGCCATATAGGTGATATCCTTCCCACAAAGATGAACCAGGGTGGACAAAAACAGGATTAGCAGCACAAATGGAGACAGAAAGGACCACAGCCGACGATACATGGGGGAGATAGAGCGGCCCAACAGGATTGTCATGTCTGCAAGAAACCTAGGAGGAAGGACAACACAACTTTGGGAGGCCTGTTCAAGACTTTCCCAGCCTTGCAAGGGTTGGGGGAGGGGGGATTAGCCCAAGCCTAGCCTGGGCAAAAGCCTTTAACATTTCTTAGAACTTTCTGTTCACCTCCACAACCCCTCCACAACCAGTCTTCTTGCCTCTAATTTGTCCCTTTCCAATCTGGTCTCTGTTAAAAAACACTTTTCTCCCCCATCATCCTCAGGAAAAATGCTAGGTTTCTAAAGGTAGTTTCTTCCAGCTCATACATCCAGCTTTCTTTGGTGTACCTTCCTAACCTCAATACAAATGCAAGTTGGGTTCCTTCTGCCTAGAATCCCCTTCTCTCTTTTTCTCCCTTGACCAACTATTCATCTGTCCAGACTCTGCTCAAGAATCTCCTCCTCTAAGATACTTTGCCTGATTCTTCATACTTCTTTAGATAACTGTTTCTAGAGTGCCCTCAGCTACCTCTGTTATAGACTTACCACCCTGCCCAGGGATCTGCTTACATATGTCTTTTTCTTTGGACTGTGCATTCTGAGAGCAGAAACTAAATATAATTCACCCCAGGATCCCAAGCCTGGCAATAGGAGGCCCTAAAAAATATGTGAGAATGAATGAGTGTATGAATGCACAAACCGATGCCAAGAACCACTAGAAATGCTGCCACCCTTGGACTACATGGTGCTTCTCAAACATTAGTGTGCATGTAAGTCACCTGAAGATCTTGATAAAACGCAGATACAGACTCAAAGGTCTGGGTGGAGCCCAGGAGTCTACATTTGTAATAAGCTTCCAGATGATACCAACGCTGCTGGTCCACAGACCACATTTTGAGAAGCAAGAGACTATGTGTTTTAGAAGCCCACACTACTCTGGTTAAAAATAGGGCTCAAGAGCTCCCTGGACTTGATATGGACTGCTCAACACTTTACCATTTCATAGCTATTTTCTCTAGGAAGCAGCCCATGCCTTTCTCCTTTCTTCCCTGCAGGGCTTTTTCTAAGCCCTGAGATCAGAGATCTAGCAGTAAGAGCAGAGGGAGCAAGGAAAAGGCCAATTCTCCCTACAGACCCTAGCTGTATGGGTACATGGTGGGAGACTTCTGGGCTTGGGACATACCTCCTGGCCCCATAGATCCAGGCCATGGACACATTCTCCAAGATGATAATGAAGAAGAGGGGCAGAGATGACCAGTAATCATCCAGCAGATTCACATAGTAGCTGCCCGAGGGCCTTGCAAAAATGAGGCTACCCAGGAACATAGGCACGCAGACACTCACTGGAGGAAAACATCAGGTTTGGATCAAGGTCAGAATTCAAGCTGGCCTATGTAAGAGACCCAGTTGGGTTAAGCTAAATAACAGCCTTAGGTGGGAGTAAAGTCATAGGTCAGGTTACCTGTCAGCAGCTTCGTATGTTTCCTGAGGGAAGAGAACGTGTCCTGGAGAGGGATAATGATGCCCTGAATAATCCCTATCATGGTGCTCATCCCCAGGTTCACCAGCAGCAGGAAGATGATGATGGCCCATAAGGTGGGTCCAGGAAGCACAGAGATGAGGTTGGTAAATGCCACAAATGTCACACCTGGACCCTTCATAGCCTACGAGTGAAGGGAGGAATGGTGAGGGCGCTGGGCTCAGCATAGAGACTCTTAACTCCATTCCTGTCCCTTCCCCTAGGAAACTGTTTAACAGTACTGTTAATAGACATTACTACACTCATTTGGCCTTGAAGCATGGGGACTTCTTCTTACGATAGTTGGGTCTAGCAACTCTTTTGGGTTGGGGTGAATAGGCTTATGTTAACTGTAGTGGTTGGTGCTAAAGAGGCCACAATAGCTTTATCACAAAAGAACACCATGATCCTTGGTGTTGGCTGTCCAGTGTGCTGTTGAGAATTGCCTTTCTGGATTCTATGCACACACTAAGGAAAGCTGAAGTTTTTGGTACACTGGGGACTTTGGGGAATTCCAGGGCCCCATCTCTAACTCTTACCTACCTGTTCCAATTGCCAAGTTAAGTTGCAATCAGTCGATTGTTGTAGGACCTCGCTTTTGACTTGTTCAGCAAGGCTATTGAACCACCTTGGATAAACAAGGTTTGGATGGTGATACAGACTATCCGGGGGCTGGGCCTTAGAAGGCAGCATTCTAGCTGCTACCAGTTTCATCACTCTGTCGGCATTACTGCGGAAGGAACGGACTCATATAAAACCATTGGGCCCTATAAGACAACTTCTCCTTCTTTATTCTCCAGATCAGAAGGGAAATCAGTGGCCTAGAGTTTTTGATGTGGTTAAGGCAGAGCCTGCACTGAAACCCAGGTCTCCAGGATCCTAGTGTATACTGCCTGCCTGCCACCTACTTTCATAATTACAAAGGTGTCTGTGTGAGGCTGGAGAATTTCTGACTTAAATGAACTCCCAGAAGTGCCTTTCCGACAGTATAATTGAGGGCTTTAGGACCCTTACCTACCACTAGATAATCCCGGGGTTAACACTAAAGCTTCTCTGCTTCTTGATCTGCTGGCCTCTTCAATCACATCTTTCCCCACCATTCTCTTCGCTCTCTATTCTTCAGCCATTCTCAACTATTAAACCTTCTTCAACTTGCCATGCTCTCTCTTGTATCAATACCTTTGGTACATGATGCTCTCTCTGCTTAGAACTTTCCACCTGAACTCTAGCCCTGCAGTCATTCTCCATATGGCCAATTTCTAAAAATTCTTACTCAGCTCACTGAACTCTATTTATTGTCATGAAAAAGCTGTTAAAGATCTATTTGCAAAAGGGCAAACCGACAAGCTGCAGAAAAGTAGTTTGGTATGATTCTTTCTTTGAAGATGGTATGTTTTTATATATAGGATAGAAATGGGAAATATTTGAAAGAATACTAGTACTGGTTATTTTTTAGGAGATAAATTCAGCTCGGGTTTGACTGTTTCCACTAAGAAGCCTTCTCTGGCTGTTCCAGGCAGTTAGTGGTTCCCTTCCCTGTGTCTCCCTATCACCCCTACTACCAGTTCTCATCTAGTTTGTAATTATCTGTTTAGTATCTGCTTCCACAAAAGACTGTGATTTTCCTGAGGGCAGGGATGGTTATCTGATGCATCATTGGCTATATTTCCAGAACTCAACACAGGGGCTGGTAGGTAGGAAATGTTTTATAAATATCTGATAAATATTTTTGGAATGAATGTCATAGGAGAAGAAAATGGGGAATGAGTAGGCTATGCGAGCTCCCATTCTATGGGCCCCTTTTTTGTCTAATGGTTTAGCTGAAGGTATTCCTTAGTTTTTCAGTGGTAGTCCCCAGTTAAGAACGGGGTAAACACACCTTTAAAAACCTCTAAGTTTGGGGATTTCCTAGATTAGAAGGGCAGCTCTGAAATAGAGTTGAAGAGATTCTAAGGTTTCAGATGCTCCAATTTGAGGGCTTTATATTGACTGAGTCAACATTCCTGAGGGATGGGGGTCTAGACTGGTGTTCTGTGGGCTGTCTCTAAGACATTCTTTGTGATGCTCTTTCTAAGAGGTCTTTGTGAAGATCTCCATATGAAAAATTGGGCTCACTTCTGGTAACATTTTTGGGTGTTCACTGTGGCCCAGTGGCCTATGATGGAAAATACAACCAACGTGGCAGTCATTGAGGTGACCAAGTTGAGAAAAGCCACAGCAAAGGCATCACTGATACAGTTGTTGGACCGAGGGACATATGAGCTGATTGCAGTGAAGCTGCCAAAGCCAGGGCCCATGGACAAAAAGACCTGGTTTCCTGTCCAGCGCCACAGTTCCATAGAGTACAGGTCTGTTACCTGAGAGAGAGAAGTATCATACAAACAGGGATATAAAGGCAGGAGAGGTAAACCAGGATAGAGATGAAAGATGAGAAGAAGGGTATGAAAGAGGGAGCTAGGAGGGCTTCTATTAGACTGGTAACCATTCTGTCCCTGACACCCCCATTGGGATTAGAGAATTAAAGGATAGGGGACACCTCACCTTGGTAGCTAACAAAGTCTTGAGACCAAAAATGGCACCTTCCAGCTGTAGAGTCTGGGCAAGGAGACCAAAAAGGATGAAGTAGGGAAGAAGAACTAAGACATACAGCATCTGGGTAGAAAGTAAGATTCAGAAAGAGAGTTCAGCAAAGGCAAAAGTTGGGGATAGCAGGTTCAATGACCACTGGGACTCAGAGGTCAGATTAAAAGGAGTGAGGAGTGGGAGATCTACAGGCATCAAAGTTAGGAGAATATTAGAGGCTCTTAGACACTAGAGGGTCTATCAGATTAGTAAGTTAGGGGGTGACTCACCTTCCCAATGGACCTGGGCCCTTTCATCATGGAGATGCAGATAAGTAACCAGGTCGCAAAGAGAGACACACTGAGATGAAAGATTGGTAGCCCACCCATCTCAATTTCATCTGTGGCCTTCAACATTTTCCGGTACCAGAAGTATGTGGTGGATGTCGTCCGTGCACATTCAGGATCTGAGGTGAACTGGCCATGGAGGAAACTGCAGGGCCAAGTGCCTCCCCCTTCTTTACATCCACCCCCTGCTTCCAATCCCATTTCATTATTTTCCTGCTCATCCCTCTTCTCTCAGTGATCCTTCTTCCTTCTTCATCACCCAGTTCTTTTCTCAGCCCTCCCACCTGCCCTTTTCTTCCCACTCCTCTCACCAAAATCACTGCTGTTCCTCAGTGAGGGGCATGATGACCAAGGCAGTGGGGACTGGAAAGACTGAACCAAATAGAAGAGACTCCAGGCCATGAGCATGCTGTAGTACAAGCCCACGATGAGGCATACCTAGGGACCACGAAGAATTCTGAAGGCAGGGGAAAATAGCTGGGCCAGCAGAAGGGACAGAATTTGACCTGAGGATTGGGGAACTGAAGGGACTTGACTAATAATGCAGGTGAAGTCATGGGACCCATTCCAGAATGAGGGTTGGGATGGAGTAGGGTGTAAAGGATAGGCCTGGGCCACCCAGGGCTCCTCACCGTGAAGCTGGCATACCCCACACCACCAATCCAGGGGCTGATGATCTTCCATACACCAATGCTGCCCTGACGCAGCCTCTGGCCAGCTGCCATCTCCAGGAAGAGAAGAGGAACTCCAAGGAAGAACAGCATGAGGACATAGATGATGATAAAACTGCCTGTGAAGAGGATTCAGGAGGAGTTGTGAGCACTATACGGCCTTTTAGTGTCTAGACTTCTTCAAGGGTCCAGGGACATGCACTCCCCACCAGCAACATCCTTAAGGGCCATAGGCATCAGGGGCTCACTTGCTTCACATTCCTCATAGCCCTAAGTATCCAGTTCCCTGGCCCCCAATTTGTGGAAGACCTGGATAGCTAGTTTCCACCCCTACACCTGACCCATGCTTTCAGCCCTACCGTCCTCATGAACCTAAGTGTTCAGATACCCTGTCCCCACCCTCCAAAAGGTCCTGGGTATTCAGGTACCTCTTTCCTTCCCCAGTCAGGATCCCAAATCCTCTGTCCCCACATCTTTCAGAGATATCTCAGAGACTCCAGAGCAGCCAGGACAGGCCTCTGTTTCCTCACCCCCTTATGAGGTCCATGAATCCTGGTACCCAGGCTTACCACCTCCGTTGTGAAAACACAGATAAGGAAAGCGCCAGATGGTGTTCAGCCCCACAGAGAATCCCACCTGGGCCAGAAGGTACTCAGTTTTATTGGCCCAGGATGGTCGTTCCGAGGGGCCTTCATCCTTTGGCTCATCTTTGTCTAGGGTCTTCAGTACTTCTTCACTATATTCATTAGACAAAATGTATGATGACAGACTGATGGCCAATTTATGTCGATCCTCAGCCAATGACTCAGTAGGCAATAACTCCCCCTCCAAGGACGGAGATGCCCAGGTAATATCAGACTTAGAATATGAAGGTCTAGACATCTGGGGTTTCACATTCTGGGCCTTCATGATTTTATGATCCTGGGTAGCCTCCAGTTCCTGCTTCTGCAGTGATGGGGCCTCATTCCTTGTCAAATGTAAGGACATCAAGGACTGTAGACTTTAGGTGTATGAGCTAAGGAAAGACAAGATTAATCATACAAGAACCCCAGAGGCCTCCCCAACCCAAGGCTATGTGGATAAGAACATATGCCCCAAAATACCAAGAATCTTCCTGCCTCTAGAAAATAAGAATTTAAAAACAATTTAATACCAAAGGACATTAAATGCCTAGGGATAATTTTTAACAAAAGATGAGCAAGATCTTTACAAAAAACTGTAAAATTTAAAACTACAGAAGTGACATCAGCAGGATGGCTGACTGGAGATGTCTGGTGCTCATCCCCTCCACAAGGAAGAACCAAGGCAATGAATAAACAGTTAAGATTTGACTAGAGTATTGAAGGGAGAGTGTTGGAATGCAGAGGGAAAGTGGAGAGGCGCCTGTGGCGGTTGGAAGTCCAAGAGGGCAGCATGAAGGAACCCAGCCTTTGCAACTCCATTGGCCATGCCCAGATCAGATCTGCTCAGAGTCAGGAGGGACTTCCTTTTGCAGGGAAAAGGTAAGCAGAGGATCCCCACCAGACCCCATTGCCACCACAAACACCTAAAGTCCTTATTACAGGAGAATCTCATTGTCCTCACAAGCCCTGAGCCCAGTTTGGAGAGCTGCTGGGAATTCACACAGCCCAGGATTAGGATGGACAAGGTGTGTACTCCCCACTCTTCCATGCACTCACTGTGAGCCAAACTGCTACAGCGTGGCACCATCTTGAGACCAGATATACCTCTGGAGTACACCCTGCTCTGAACACCAGTAGCCACTGCACTTCTCCAACATTGGGGATCCATCTTTGTTCCGCCAAGCCCACACAGGTGACTGAACACCACAACTCCAGCTGTGCAGAGCCTAGGCCCAGCCCCTGCTGCCTTACTTCCAGTGGGAGGAACATTCTGGCAGTCCTGCCCAGAATGAACCTGCCCTTGAGCTGACCAAACGGCCATGTGCCCTGCCCTAAACAGAAGAGACCCTCAAGCCTCTGCTCAGAGGCTGATTAGAACCTGAACTGATATGCCCTCAAGCCAGCAAAGTTGCTATGTGCCCACTCTCAGTGCCTGAGAAACAGCCCTGTAGTCCCCCTGCCCTACAGACATACCCCTGGCCCAGCCAACAGCCCTGAACCCAAAATCAGGGCCAGGGAAAGTGCCCTGCAATGCCCCTACCCCACAGACACACCCCAGGCCTGGCCAATGGCCCTGAACCTGAAATGAGGGCCTGAGAAACAGTTCCACACCTTCCAAGGGTGGCAGGTGTACCCCAGGCTGGCCAAGCAGCCTTATGCCTACATCCCAGGCCTGAGAAAAAGCCCTGTGGGCCATCCCTGGCAGGCATGCTCCCAAGCCAGCTAAGCAACCACATGCCTGTGCTCCTGGCTTGAGTAACAGCCCCATGGTCTCAACCTCAGCAAGCCAGACCCCAAGTTGGCTGACTCACCTCATGAACATATATGACCCCAAGAAATAGCCCAGTGAGCTCACCATCAATAAAGCCATGCTACTACTGCCACAGACTCTCTCAGTCGAGGCCACGGAGACTCTTATAAACATCACTAGTGTGGATTACAGCTGAAGAAACTACGCAGAGACTATACTACTGCACCCACCTAAAACCAAGGCCAACCCATCCCACCTAACTGATACCACAAGACCCATTCATGTGAATAAGTCTTTCCATCCTCCATGAAACTGGAAGAGGTTATCTTTCCACCAGATGTGTAGAAATCAACATAGGGACACATCAAACATGAAAAACAAAAAAAAAGACACTTTCAAAGGAAAACAATAATTACCCAGTAATAGACCTCAATCATAAGGAAATGTGTGAAATACCATAAAAAGAATTCAAAACAATAATATTAAGAAAACTAAGTGAGATATGAGAAAATATAGACAGACAATTCAATGAAATCAGGAAAACAACTCATGATTTGAAGAGAAATTTAACAAAGAGATAGATATCATTAAAAAGAACCAAACAGCAATCCTGGAGCTGAAGGATTCAATGAATGAAATTTAAAAAATACAATCTAGAGCTTCAATAACAGACTAGACCAAGCAGAAAAAAGAATTTCTGAAATTGAAGACAAGTCTTTTGAAATAACACAGGCAGACACGCACACATACAAAAAAGAATAAAAAAGAAGAAAGCCTACAAGATTTATGGATTACCATTAAGTGAACAACTATTCATTTTATACATGTTCCAGAAGACAAAGAAAAGGGAAAAGGTGTAGAAAGTATATTTAATGAAATAACAGCTGAAAACATCCGAAGTCTTGGGAGAGAGATGAACATCCAGGTTGAGGAAGCTCAAAGAACCCCAAATAGATTGAATCCAAACAGATCCTCTCTGAGGCACATTATAGTCAAATTGTCACTGCTGAATTCTACTGAACCTTTAAAAAAGAATTAATACCAATTCTTCTCAAACTATTTCAAAAAATTAAAAAGGAGGGAATTCTTCTTAACTCATTCTACAATTTCAAAGATATCAGTTGTGTCTTTCCCTGGTTTTGATACCAAAAAGAAAACTACAGGCCAATATCCCTGATAAACATATATGCAAAAATCCTCAACAAAAGACTAGCAAATCCAACACATCAAAAAGATAATAAACTATGATCAAGTGGGACTTATCCCAGGAATGTAAAGATGGTTCAATGTATGCAAATCAATAAATGTAATACATCACCTCAACAGAATGAAGGACAAAAACCATATGGTTATCTCAATAGATGCAGAAAAAGCATTTTATAAAATCCAATATCCCTTCATGATAAAAATTCTCAATAAACTAAAGAGGTAGAAAGTACCTCAACATAATAAAGGCCATATCTGACAAACCCACAGCTAATATCATGCTGAGGCTGTCAAGTAAGTATGGAACTGGAACAAGACAAGGATGCCTTTGAACTAAGAACTGGAATAAGACCTGGAATAAGACAAGGGTGCCCACTCTCACCATGCATATTCAACATAGTACTAAAAGTCCTAGCCAGAGCAAGCAGGCAAGAGAATGAAATAAAGGGCATCCAAATTGGAAAGGAGGAAGTCAAATTGTTCCTATTTGCAGACAATGATCCCATATATAGAAAAACCTAAATACTTTACCCCAAAACTCTTAGAACTGATAAACAAATTAAGTAAAGTTGCAGGATACAAAATCAACATATAAAAATCAGTAGAGTTTCTATACATGAACAATGAACTAGCTGAAAAAGAAAATCAAGAAGAAGCTAAAAAAAAAATCAAGAAGGCAATCCCATTTACAATAGCTACACCAAAAATAAAACACTTAGGAATAGATTTAACCATGGAGGTAAAAGACCTCTACAAGAAAAATGACAAAATACTGATGAACAAAATTGAAGAAGATACAAACAGATAGAAAGATATCACATGCTCATAGATAGGAAGGATTAATATTGTTAAAATGGCCATGCTACCCCAAGCAATCTACAGATTCAATGTAATCCCTACCAAAATACTAATGATATTCTTCACAGAAACAGAAAAAAAAAATCCTAAAATATACCACAAAGCTATAGCAACCAAAACATCTTGGTACTGGCATAAAAACAGACATCTAAACCAATGGAACAGAATAGAGAACTCAAAAACTAATCCATGTATCTACAACCAACCAAATTTTGACAAAGGTACTACGAATACTCATTGGGGAGAGGACAGTCTCTTCAATAAATAGTGCTGGTAAACCTGGATATTTATATGCAGAAGTATGAAACTAGACCCCTACCTCTCATCCTATACAAAACATCAACTCAAAATTGATTAAAGACTGTAAGACCCGAAACTATAAAACTACTAGAAGAAAACATAGGGGCAATGCTTCAGGACATTAATTTGGGGAAAGATTTTACGAATAAGACCTCAAAAGCAGCAAGAAAAGCAAAAATAGACAAATGGGGTTACATCAAACTAAAAAGCTCTGCACAGCAAGGGAAATAATCATTATAGTGAAAAGACAACCTACAGAATGGGAGAAAATATTTTGTAAACTATTTATCTGAGAGGGGATTAATATCCAGAATATACAAAGAATTCAAACATCCCGACAGAAAAAAAGTCAGACAATCCAATTAAAAAATGGGCAAATGATCTTAACAGAAATTTCTCAAAAGAAGACATACAAATGGCCAAAAGAATATGAAAAAATGCTCAACATCACCAATAATCAGAGAAATGAAATCAAAACCACGAGGTATCATTTTATCCCAGTTAAATGGCTATTACCAAAAAGATAAAAAATAACAAATGCTAGTGAGGATGCAGGCTAAAGGGAACTCTTATACACCATTGGTGGGAATTTAAACAAGCACAGCCACTACGGAGAATAGTATGGAGGGTCCTCAAATAACTACAAATAGAACTACCACATGATCCAGCAATCCCACTACTGGGCATTTATCCAAAGGAAAGGAAATGAATATGTTGAAGAGACATCTGCACCCCCATATTTATTTCAGCACTGTTCACAACAGCCGAGACATGGAATCAACCTAGGTGTCCAACAACAGATGGATGGATAAAGAAAATATGGTATATGAGGGCTGTCTGGGAAGTATCCAGCCATTGTTAATAGTATTTTTCATATTACATGGCCGGATACTTTCTGGACAGCCTTCATATACAAAACAGAATCCTATTCAGCCATATAAAAGAAGAAAACCCTATCATTTGTGGCAACATGGATGGAACTGAGGACATGTTAAGTGA